CCCCCCCCTGTTCCCTTTCTGCGTGTTTAATTGCGGTTGTAGCCTACCCACACCCCGACCGCATTCCTTCGCATTTTTGCTCTCCGACAATATCACCATGAAGCGACAGCCAAAACAGCACCCGCTTTGTTGATTTCATGCAAAGTCGTCCTCTGTCGGAAATCATTTTTGCAGACATTTTTTTTTGTTGTTGCGTGTGTGTCAGCGGCGAAGGTATCACGATGGCTCGCTGGACAGCCACTGAGACGGGATGCCCGAACCACATCAACTGGCCCCTCAACCCCAACGCCGCCGGGGTGAGCGTGGCCGAATCGAATCGAACCTACATAGCCACATCACGCCACCGCTACCACTACCGTGCTGTTGGGATGCGCATGTGTTGTCTTGTGGTTGGTAGGGCTATTCTCTCAAGCTCTCTCTGGGTATTGTTGTCAGTCTTGTTCGCGGGGGTTAGCTAGTGTCTCGAAGTTATCACCAGCCAGGTGTCTTAGTTCATGGTGCATCGTTGCTGATACCGTTTGCTGTTGTGATTTAGATGTTGCCTGACTGTGTGTGTGTGTGTGTTTTTTTTTTTGCAGCCTATTCTATATCCGTTCGGTCTGCCCCCGTCGCCCGATAGCACCATTTTTTCGTCCACCCCACCTCGCGATGTCTGCCGAAGAGAAGCCAGACGGTCATCAGGGGGCCACGCAGAAACACGTTTCTCTGAGGTGCATGCCCACGGATAACGCGACAACTCGGGCAGATCGAAAATGTTGATTTTTTTCGACACGTGCCAACAATAGGTGATGTCCGTCAACCAATCGGTCCCGGCGTACCCCATGCTTATCGCGTCCGGGGGAACGACGGACTTGAGCTCTGCTGCGGGCACCATCGGGCTAATGCGCAACGGAGTTTCTATGTTCAGGTGGGCTGTGTGACGACCGCGAGCCTTGCTTCCCCCCCCCCACCCCGCCCAGTGTTGAAAAATGGAAAAGGGTTGAGGGATTTCCTACATGGACCAATAGGTGCAGGGACAAAGCTTAAGGTCAAATTCAGGACCGGGGACACAGGCCTTCGAGAACGTCGACGAAGACATTGGACGGTAGACGACGAAGACAAGTTCAAATGTGATTGCGGCTTCGAATACGAAGACCGTGTGCATGTCATTTGTACGAAAAGGAGAGGGAAGTGTGCATGGCTGAGCTGGGAAAAACACAAGGGAGGTACAGGGAGATATTTGAGGCATGTAATAGAGAGGAGAAGACGGTAGCTGTAGTGTGGAGTAGGAAATGGTTTGAAAAGGCGGGAAGGGATATCGGCAGGATAGACAGACTACCATAGGTTGCATAAGATAGTCGTGCATGCCGTAGTCGTTAGACCATTGACCTCGCATCCCTACAAAGCCGGGACGGAGCACGCCGGGTTCTCACCGGACCAGGCTCTCACATC